GTATCTGTCTGTGCACCTATTCTCTGGAATTTTACATTGTTTTTAGACTTAATGACTTCCAAGAATAACTGTTGAGGCTTTTCTAGTTTATAGATATTTTCAGATTCATTGTAAGAGACTTTCTTAGTAAACTGGATGGTTTTAATTTCTTTATTCATCTGATAAATAGGGCATTTTTTATCCAAATTATTATGTTTTTGACCACAGTTAATACATAGGAGTTCTTTAGGACATTTTTCATCAGTATGTTTTTCTTCACCACTCTGAAAACAGATAATTTTCGGGTTTGTGCATTTTAGGGTATGGTGTGAGAAAGTAAGACACCTATAGCACCTTATCGGATTAGGAATGTATGTTTGGCCTTTAATGTTCTGATAACCAATTTTAAGATTTTCAGGAGGTAACGGAGAAGGAAAAGTTACAATATATGAATTTGTAAATTTGTTGTTCCCTTTTATTTTTATTCTATCAATATCCATAATTTTTCCATTTAGCTCCTCAATAATTTCATCCTTCTCTAAGTACTGCTAGTCAAAGCAGCTAATAACTCCTTTACTTAAAGTAAGGATTGTTTTAACTATAATTTAAAGTAGTAATTGGTTTAACGGTAATATTGTATTGGTCGGCAAATCACTTACTATCTAAAAGCTTCTGTGATTGTTTACTATTGGTTGTTTCAATTGATAAATTTCCATCTCTTAATTTCTCTAAATTAACTATGAATTTACTAATAAAAAAAGTGTATACTCTTTGATATCCTTCATCTCATTCCCTGCTTACTATTAAGTAGGTAGGAGAATTTTTAATAGCCTCATTTACTTGAAGAGGGTCTGGTGGGGTTTTAATTCGTCCTCTTTTTCAATGCTTATGTGAGCTATGTAGCACATACATTTTAATAATATAGTTCAATTAAAGAACTATAATTTCAAAGTTCAAAATAAAATAAATAAAAATTAAGAGGAAAACAATAATCTGTATTAAAAGAAAATATATATCTAATTTAACAAAATATAAAGAAAATAATAGAATATAGTCTTATCTGAACAGTAGATAAACAGCTGAGAGTTAATTCTTTGAAGTAGTATAAACACATCCGAACTCTACGTAGTCTACTATCTAACTGTGGGATTTCTTGCCAATTAAGCATACTTGAAAGTTTTAGGCTCACGGGTTAACTTAGAATTGTACTATACATTGGTATAAAATGACAGGCTCGAAATCTAGCTATCTGATTTCGACAAAGAGCTGCAGATCGAGCCTACAATTTTAGCCCATCTAAAAAGACTTTAATATTCTGCTAGCTAATAATAGGCTAAAAATCTACCAATTTAATCAGTAGAAAAATACAAGGATTAAGCTTGCTGTGGTACTCTATGCAGTATTCTTGTATAGATTGGAAAGCTGGATAACCCTTGACAAGGTATAATTAAGATCATCGTGGTTAAAATGATATCCCTCCAAAGAATATAGCTATTATTCTTAGCCAATGTTGACATTATTATCACAATCACTAATACTTCATTCATCAGTATTCTGATACAGACAGTGAAGATGTAGAATTTTTAATCTTTTTATTTATTTCATTTTATAATTTTCTTCCTCGCGCGGGCTCATTACCGCGTATGGGGAGCGTCCCACGGGTGGCGGATGTGGGGATGGTCGGTGGAAATTCCTTGGAAGTTCCTCCCGGCTAAGTCCGATGGACTCGCTGACCAACAATGAGAGGGGCCCTCCAGACTTGCTGGAGGGAGGGGACCTCCAGACTTGCTGGAGGTAGGGGCCCACCAGACTTGCTGGAGGGTGTGACGTAGGATTGAACGCCCTACTCACATATCTTTAGTTCACCAAACACCACAAAAAGTCATGGATCTCCCTAAGGTAAAACGCTCATTATCCGGAGGTAAACTAGTCCCCCGTTCGGGTCTCCGGGTGGGGACTGCTTTAGGGGATTCATGCCGCAAGTTGAAATATAGGGATTTAAATATTGGTACGTGGAACGTAAGGAGTTTAAACACAGCAGGAGGGCTAAAATCGGTCGCGAATGAGGTAAATGGGTACAATTTGGATGTCGTGGCTCTGCAAGAGGTTCGCTGGCCAGGGGAGGGCTCGATGAGGGAAGGAAAGTACACTATTTGGTACGGAGGAAGCGGGAATCATTGTTTAGGTACCGGGTTTCTAATTAGGAGTAGATTACTATCCGCTTTGAGGGACGTACAATTCTTTAGTGATAGAATTTCGGTAGCTACATTTCAGGGACGTTGGTTTAAAATCGCATTAATAAACATACATTGTCCGACCGAAGACAGTGACGATGAAGTCAAAAGTGAATTTTACGATAAACTCGAATGGGTTTATGATAAACTACCGCGAAACTACATGAAAATAATTGTAGGTGACGCGAACGCAAAGGTAGGAAGGGAAGAAGTTTATATTCAGACGATTGGTAAAGAAAGTTTGCACGAATATAGTAATGATAATGGGATCCGTCTGATAAACTTTGCCATCTCGAAAAACCTGGTAATTAAAAGTACGACGTTTAAACGTAAGGATATTCATAAATATACTTGGACATCGCCGGATTCGCAAACACGAAATCAAATCGATCATGTCTTGATACAACACAGCTGGCAAAGCAGTATAATCAATGTACGGTCTTATCGCGGAGCAGAATGTGGGTCGGATCATGAATTAGTAATCGCGAAACTTCGACAAAAACTTAATATAAAAAAGAGAAAAGAAAACCGTTTCGATTTTGAGAATTTTAATTTGGAAAAATTAAAAAATCCATCAATTAGAAACCAATTCGAGCTAGATGTTAAGAATAGGTTTGAAGCTTTAGAGCTTCCTGACGAGGACCACGAGGATATTGACAAGTTATGGGTAGAGATCAGGGATAATATTAAAGCGGTCGGTAACTCGTGTCTAGGAAAAAAGGAAAATAAGAATAACAAACCGTGGTTTGATGAAGATTGCTTAAACATGTGCGAAAAAAGGAAAGCCGCTAAATTAAAAGCTCTAAATAATCCTAGCGAAGACAATCTGGAATACTTCCGAATCTCAAAGAACGAAACGACAAAATTGCTCAAAAATAAAAAAAGGGAGTATCTTAAAAATAAAATAATTGAAATAGAAACTAATAGAATCGAAAATAACGTAAGAGACATGTATAAAGGTATAAACAGATCACGTAAATATGTAGGGCCCGTAACGTCTGGAATTAGGGATGATAATAACAATATTCTGACCGATCCGGTTGACATATTGAATAAGTTTAAGGACCACTTTGACAATATTTTAAATACGGGAAATTATGATCTGTGTCCTCCTTCTGAGTACCATAGTGCTGAACCGTTAATAGAAGGACCAAGTAAAGAGGAAGTTGAAGTAGCTATCGGTAAATTAAAATCATATAAAGCAGCGGGAATCGATAATATTCCTACTGAACTAATTAAGGCATGCGGGGAAGCTGGAGTTTCTAAAATACATCGGTTGGTTGAAAAGATCTGGGTGAACGAGAAATTACCTGAAGAATGGAAAGAATCTATTCTTATTCCGATTCATAAAAAGGGTCCGAGGACGGATTGTAATAACTATCGAGGAATTTCACTCCTTCCGGTATGTTATAAAATATTCACTGTAATCTTAACCAGTCGAATCACGGAATACGCCGAGGAAATTATCGGAGACTACCAATGCGGATTTAGACGGAATCGTTCGACTATTGATCAAATATTTTCTTTACGGCAAATATTAGAGAAAAAATTGGAGTATAACGGTATTGTTCACCAGCTGTATATAGATTTTAAAAAGGCTTACGATTCTATTGACCGCCAGAAACTGTATAATATTCTAATCGAGCAGGGAATTCCAAAAAAACTAGTAAATCTAGTCAGGATGTGCTTGACGGAGACACTCAATAAAGTTAGAATCGGTAATAATTTGTCCGAAAAATTTGAGGTTCGTTCGGGCTTAAAACAGGGGGATTCTCTTTCGCCTGTCCTGTTCAATTTGGCATTAGAACATGCCATTAGGGAGGTAATGAGTACCGAGAAAGGGTTGGATCTGGGCGGGACAACATCCGTGCTGGGCTATGCTGATGATCTGGTACTGTTAAGCGAAGACGTTGAAACTATAAAACTAAATACGACAACGTTAATGAAAGCCGGTAAAGAACTAGGACTCGAAATAAACGTGGATAAAACAAAATATATGGTTAGCTGCAAAAATGGCGATACTACTGGTGATATCGATATAGATGGTAATATGTTTGAGCAGGTAGATAAGTTTAGGTATCTAGGTTCTACGATAACTAGAAAAAACGAAATTGAAGAAGAGATTAAGGTTAGACTGAAGGCGGGAAATGCTTGTTATTTTTCTGTGACAAAACTACTTAGTTCGCGCCTCTTGTCCCGAAACTTAAAAATTAGAATCTATAAAACAATTATCTTGCCTACAGTTCTTTATGGATGCGAAACTTGGCCGCTTACATTAAGGGATGAGCAGCGTCTTAAGGTTTTTGAAAATAAAGTATTGCGTAGAATATTCGGACCGAAGAAGGATGAGTTAACCGGAGAGTTCAGACGGTTACACAACGCCGAATTGCGTGAGCTGTATCCGGGTAATATAATTGAGGTAATTTCATCGCGGCGAATCAAATGGGCTTGTAAAGTTGTTGGGCTTAATAACGAGAGAATTCCTAAAAGGTTAATATATGCGGTGCCGAATGGTAAGCGTCCGAGGGGTAGACCGAAGCGAAGGTGGGAAGATTGCATTAAAGCCGATCTGAAGGGACTGGGTTTGGACGTCGAACGGTGGAGGGAGGTGTGTAACAAGCGATTGGTGGTGTCGGCATCGAACCTTCGGGTTCGCTAAGCCTTATTATTATTATTATTATTATTATTATAATTTTCTTATTATCCTGATCAATATCATAGTTAAAGAGTCAATAACATTAAATACAGTTAAGGTGTGTATTATTAGTTTAATTAATTTCTTTTTAGACTGCTAAGGAGTATGTTAAACTGGCTGAAAGCTTCAGCAAAAAATATGAAAAAATGTTACAGCAAGAAAGAACTAAAAAAGAAAAATTAGAAGAAATTGTAGAACAACTTGCTAGACAACATTCTATTTTAGAACAAGCTGCAAAAGATCATAGACGAACTAAACCCAGTAAGTTTTCATATTTTATATTACCAATCAAATGTTTTATTTTATTACTTTCACTTAGCTATATATGTAATACATAGTATACATACATACATACATAATACGAGTAAGTATTGCAAATGCGAACATTTTCGAGTTTCAGTTTTTTAATGGAAATACATGTTTTGAAGTCCCCTGAGCCCAATTAACCAAGTCACACAAAATTGTGTGTGTGCGTGCGTTCGTGTGTGTAGCTGAACAGCCTAGCTCAGAAACGAAAAGTCGTACTAAACTGAAGTTGTGTATTTGAGGTTTTTATAAGTCTGGAATGTTACAGCAACATTTTCATCAAAATTAGCAAACTGGAAGTGGTACTTTATGTCATCGATTTAACAAATTTTTACAATTTTCTCAAAAATGGCTCTTAACGATTTTGATTAAACTCAGTATATTAGGATGGTGACTGACCTGGAAAAATGGGAAAAGTCAGGGAATTTACAATATAGAGAAAAATGAGGGAGAAGTCAGGGAAAAATTTTTAAGGTCATGGAATTTTTTTATTTTATAAATATTTTTTTTAAATTGGAATTATTATACAGTGGATTAATATATAATGATTTTAAGGGACCTGCTAAACATATAGGGACTTTGGTTGTTATAAACATACAGTTTTATAACAACGATGGTCACTATATCTATCCACATGTGACTGTCAATAACAATCCTGTTAGTTATATTGAAATCAAACAAGGGTAATGAACGAAATGTGAGCAAAATGGACTTTTTTTAAAAAGAAAAATATACCAATACTATTTACTATTTGTAATGTATATATCTATGGACATATTTATTTTTTATATATGATAATACACTTCTTAACGGCAATTCTGTCTCTAGGCGAACGCACATTGGAACAACAGGGCTAAAATGCTATCCTGGTGTCAGGCGTCAACTTGTTAAAAAATTGCGTTTCACTGCATTGAATATGTCAGCGTCATGATTTTCTCACGGCTAAACCGTCAAAGACCATTCATTGGTTAATTGAAGGAGAACGCTGGCAGCTTCACAACTAATCTTTATATCCATCCTCATGAATATAAAGTTTAAGATTCATCTATAGGATCACAAAATGATTTTAAATATTCTTCAGCCTTTTCGAGTAAAATCTGACTTAACACTGATATAGACTAGGAGCTACCGACCATTTCATTTATCGGAAGGACTTATAAGTAACCATTTTAAATTCTAGATAAATATCATCTGAACACACAACTTCGGTCAGTCGGTCAAAAGTCGTTGCTGCTTTCTATAAGAATAACGAAGAGCAAAAAGTTTTTTATTGAAAGAAAAATTCTTTATATGTTGTCGACTGGAGAGGGAAGAGCCTAATAGTAGCCTGGCTCAAGAATTAAACGTAAAACTTAAGAATTGAAAAAACCTCGAATGTAGGCCACACATATTATTAGATACGCGAACGAAGTTGTGGGTCAAGAATATGATAAAAACAACTTTTTCTGAAAATGATAACGCTTTCAGTGTGAAAATTTTTAAAATAGCTGTAACTATGGACTGATTGGTGATTATTTTCCATATGTATATATATTCTAATAGGGAATTTAAGTCTCTACAACTTCTTTTTAATGAATTTCTTTCTCTGATGAATATCTTAGACGATATGAAAAAATGTGACAAAATGATTTTTTTTGAAAATGTCATTTTTTTCGAGCGTGTAGCTTGAAAACGGTTTAGAATGCGGATAAAACCTATGGAATAAAAGTTTTAGACAATTTTATAAATTTAATTTACTTTACAAAAAATTTCCCATGCAATGCACAGTTTTGAGATATTGGCAAAAATCCAAAAATTGTGACCTTTCCTCCACTTCTCTCCTCTCCTCCCCCACAGAAAACCAGCCAGACGTCAGGACTTTGGATATATTCATACCTTAAGTACCCTGCTGAACAAGTTTTTGAAGGAATTGCTTAGGTCCCTATTCACGCACTTTATAACTTCTGGAATATATTGCTAATAACCATTTTAAATTCTAGATAAACGTCATCTGAACACACAACTTCAGTCAGTCGGTTGAAAGCCGTTGCTTTCTATATGAAAATTTAAATTAAAGAGCGAAAATTTGATGGTTCATTTAAAGGAGGAACTGACGGCTGAAATTTTGATATGATGTAAAGAATATGTCCCTAAAAGAGAATTCACCTTGACTGGCGATATGATTGGTTGCGTTTTGAAAACTGACAAAGTCATCAAATCAGGTCAGTCCATTGGTAGTTGGATGAGGAAAAAATTCAAATAGTCGGTTTCTCTTCAAATTTTTATACTTTTTGGGATGCTGAATCTGAATTTGATGTTCCCGAATGAAATGTTCCATTGTGTTCAGATATGCAGGGTGTCTCATAAGTAGAGTGAAATAATTATAAGGTTGATAGTAAACATCAAGATCTTTTATAAGGTTGATAGTAGACATCAAGATCTTTTAAATAAACTTCTATATTAATTCAGTTAAGGTTTATTTGGAAATTTTTTTAGATTCACCTCAAGTTATGTAAAGAAATGATGTAATTTCCTATCCAGTCACCTTAAAGTACCCATGTTTTCTGAAAAAATGACTTCAATTAACTGTTGCAATTAAGCTTTTATTTATTGTTTTCAGTGATATGGGATGTATTTTCATTAACATAATTGCCTAAAACTATATTTTATTTATAAATATAAAAAATTTATAAACAACGATTTTTTAATTATTTTTCATGTAAATTGGTTATGAAACTACGTCTATGTTTACCCTAATTTCAAAATGTCAAGTAAGATTTACATCAATATTATGTAAATAATTTTTTATCATATCTCATGATGTATGTTTAAAAATGTGCCTTCTTCATCAATATTAATACTATTTTGTCACACTCTGCAGATTGTCCTTATCCTGATCCCTTCATGACTAATACCTTAATATCCTATCTTGTTAACTCCCAGTTCCATCTAGCACATTATGACGAATTCCTTGATTATTTTTACCATAACTTCCATCATACCATAGCCATTTCTGAAACTTGGCTCAAATCTGACATTATCTCCCTCTCCGTTTCCTTACCCAACTATACTCTCTTTCATCATGATCGAATGGACCGAAGAGGTGGAGGTGTGGGATTATTCGTTCATGACAGTCTAACGGCCAAAGTCCTTCTAAAATCTCCTTCTTCTGACTTCCCAAACATGGAATATCTTTTGTCCAAGTTTCCTCCAGTACCTTTTCTCTACTCTTCATCGTTATTATCACCCTCCTCATGTCCGATTTGATCTCACTTTTGGATCCTTCCTCCTCACGTATATCCCTCTCTTTGAAAATGTTATTATTGCAGGTGATCTCAACACCAACCTCCTTTTTAGATTCTCCAGACTCTAATATCTTATTGACCTAGTTTTTTCCCTAGACCTATTTATTGTTCCCTTTCAACCCACCCATCATACCCTGACAACCAGATATTTGGCTAGACTTATTTATTATTGTTTCCCTTCATAACCTATTATCCTCTATGCAAATTTCAGTTTCCTTCCTTTCATTCCACGATCTTATTGAAATATCATACATCTCCATTCTCACACCTAAACCCAAACAAATTTCCTGGAGAGATTTTGATTCCTTAACCACTGAAAACATCAGCCCTTTTTTCAATTCTCTTTTTGCTTCCTTTTGAGTGAGCTCATTTCTTCTCTCTCCTCCATTGATGACATGGTTGAATGACTTTCTTCCAACCTCTTTAATATCCTCAATCATCAACCTCTAAAAACACGTATCTTTAGACGTCCTGCCTCTCCTTGGATTAGTACAGAAATAAGAGAACTAATGAGGGGAAGAGAGGCTGCTAGAAGACACTACAGACATACTCGACTGCCCCAACATACAACATTTAAATCCCTACAAAACCTCATACAAATGTCTCTGGGCCTCTCCAAAGCCCAATACTTTAATTTCGTTTTATCCCAAGAACCCAACCCTAAATCCAAATGGACAATCCTTAAGAACCTCTCTTTTGTTAGCTCAAAAACCTCCAAACAAGCTAAATTCCTTTTTCACTAACCATTTTCCATTTACATTTTCATCTGATCTCTCATTTTTTTCCATCACCGAAACCCCCTTCGATCCTGATAAGTTTTATTTTCTCGATATTTCTCCTAATGACCTACTCTCTGGCACCCTTAAATAAAATGAACAATTATGATCCTGACCAAATACCTGTTAAAATTATCAAACTCTACCTCCCAGCCTTACTTCCTGCACTTCTACACATATATTTCTCTCTCCAAAATGAAATGGAATTTTACACATATTTCCCAAATCCTGAAAAAGAGCCATAGTCTGCCCATTGAATAAAGTTCCTACTTCTTCATCAGCTTCCGACTTCAGAGCCATCTCCATTTTATCCAAGCCTCTAGAAAGATTAGTCCACTCTCCGTTGAACAGCTTTCTCGAGCAAAACCTACTCAATTCTTAACAATCTGGTTTCCATTCCCATTATTCCACCCAGTCTACTGTGCTAAAGATTACGTAAGACCCGCAATTTGCCATATATAAACAGAAAATCTCCATTCTAATCCTTTTTGACTTTTCCAAAGTGTTTGATTTCGTCAATCACGAGATCCTCCTTTTCAAACTCCAAAGTCTGCCCATATCAAATAGTGTCCTAAAATGGTTCCTCTCCTCCTTATCCAATCAATCTCAGAAAGTTGTAATTCCAAATAAACCTCAATCGTCTTCCCTTCAATTAACACGAGGTGTTCCTCATGGTTCCTCTCCCCGACCCTTTTCTCTATTTATATTAGTGACCTTCCTGGCGCCATTAAATACTTCTGTTACCAGCAATATGCTGATGATTTCCAAATTTACCGGTCATTCCAACCTTTCGAGATGCTTAAGGCTACCCGAAAGCTACAAGAGAATATTGACTGCATCAACAGATGGTCAGAAATAAATGAGTTAAAGCTGAATGCAGAGAAAAATAAGGCTATTCTCATTAGGTCCAGACAACTTACTAATTCTTTTCTCTACTTTCCTCTATTTTACCTTATAACCACCCTATAACCACCCTGTACATTTTTTCCCCTAAATTCAAAAACCTAAGAATAACCTTTGACCAGAACCTCTCCTAGAATAACCATATCTCCCAGATTACACGAAAATCCATAACTGTTCTTATAAACAACTCCTAAGATTCCATAATTTTATTCCTTTAAAAACTTGGCAGCTCCTCGTAACCTCCCTTATATTCCTCCACTTCGACTACAGCTGCTTGGTGTATGGAGGGCTATCTGCCTGGCTAGAAATGAGATTAAAGAAGCTCATGAACTGTTTCATAAGATACATCTTTGGGATCCCTAAGTGTTCCCATGTTTCACTCAAGTACACCGAGTTGAAGTTGCTTTATCCTACTTCCTGGTGACAATTCCTCCTTCATGGTTTCCTTTTCCAAGTCCTCAGAACCAAAAACCCTCCCTACATCCTGGAACTCCTTACTCTACGTTTCTCCATCCACTCTATCAATACCAGGTCTTAACCTATAGATTTAGCTCAGGTGTAATGTTAATATACGAAAAGTTGAAAAGCTATTGAGTGCTCGAACTTCGAAGTCCATTTTGGTTCGAAAGCTTTTGATTATTATGAATATTGATGTCTCTCATACTAATATAATATATAAAAGCTATGTACAAATTACAAGTTATAAATAAATTTTATACATTCTAGTTATGTTATAAATGTAGTTAAATTAGCCAAATAAAAAGCACTTAAGTTGAAAGCGGCAGATATTACAAGGGAAATACGGCTTCAATTCTATGAACTTTAACAGCTGCTTAATCTTCTCACGTGTCTACATGAGGTAGAGAAATTTAAAGCCCTTTTGAATTGATTATATTGAATTTCTTGGAGAGATGCATAGATTATGAGTTTTGGGGAAAAAACGGCAAAAAGAGATTTTTGTGAAGTAAGCAAACAGTCTACATTTTCTAACTCCTCATCCATTGGCCCTACATCAAAAAGCTATTTATATAATTGATAGTAAATTTTATCTTCTTTAACGTTGCATATAATAATAATTTCGATAAAATGCATAGTTTTGGAGTCATGTCCAAAAAACTAAAAAAAGTTTGGAAATTTTGATATTTTTTGCATATATTTTGGAACGGAATGGAATATTTTGTTCGAGAACATCAAATTCAAATTCAGCATCCCAAAAAACATGAAAAAGTGAGGAGAATCAACTATTTGAATTTTTTCCTCATCCAACTACCAATGGACTGACCTGATTTGATGACTTTGTCAGTTTTCAAAACGCAACCAATCATATCGCCAGTCAAGGTGAATTCTCTTTTAGGGACATATCAAAATTTCAGCCAACAGTTCTTCCGTTAAATGAACCGTCAAATTTCGCTTCTTTAATTTAAATTTTCATGTAGAAAGCAATGGCTTTCAACTGACTGACTGAAGTTGTATGTTCATATGATGTTCATCTAGAATTTAATATAGTTACTAGATATAAGTATTTCTGTTAAATCAAATTGTCAGTAGCTCCAAGTCTAATAGTGGATTATTAAGAAGAACCGATTTTGTCAAGAGAAGATAGGTAGTCGTTTTTTGGATTTAAATGATTCAGCATGTCCTTGAGTAGATTCGACATTCTTTCAAGTTTTACGTTTAATTCTTGACCCAGGCTATTATTAGATGCTTCCCTCTTCAGTCAGCGACATATTGTAATATACACCTTCATTGAAAGTTGTTAAAAATGATTTAATAAATTAATGTAACAGTTAAAAAGCAAGCTAATCTAGTTTCACTAGTTCAGGGAAAAGAAAATAGCTGTTCTGTAGTTACCCCAGAAAGGAAAATCCCAAAGAGGAGAGGGGATGGACCAAGAATTTTGTTTTGTCAAGCAGTTGTTGTTTGGCTGCAGAGAAGAGAGGATAGGAGAAGGGATCCTGGCTCCAGTGGGTAAAACCCAGTAATAGTATTATCATTTTGGAAGTTGTTTGACAGAGTCACTAGTTGTTTGGAATTACATGAGAGAGGATCTCCCAGGGAGCTTGAGTTGAGTAGATGAAAGTGTCACCATTTTGGAAGGTGTGTTTGGCAGAACTTTAGAAAGTGTTTGAAGACAAATGAATTCAGTGCCACAAAGGAGAAACAGTATGTATAGAAAAAAGGTTAGCTTGCCAATCCATATTTGACTTTATTTTAAAATCAAACAGTGTTTAGTACAGTTAATTTTAGTTTTTCTGAGTGTTTTGATCTGATTTTCAGTAACCCATAGCTGAGATAGAATAATTATGAATTTCAATTTAATATATTAATACTCTTATAATTGTATTTATTATTTAACAACCTCTTATTTCTTTTGGAAGTATCCAAACAGTATAAAGTGATCTTCGGAGGTATTATTATTTGTAAAATAAGAGAGATGTTACAATATATAGAATTTTTCTTTCAAGCAAAAACTTTTTTGTTCTTCCTTATTCTTATTAAACTACTTAACAGAAATATGAATTTAACGCTAAGAGTGAGAATGAAATTGATTTTATAAATTTGAGACTTAACATAGAGAAGGAGTGTAATAAAATATTTTCATGATAAGTGAGATATAAACATGAAGGTTTTAAGAGTTCATCTGTCGCTATATTCGATTATTTTTTCTGAAAACTGAAATCAAATCAGTAAATCCAATTGCAATATCCATTCAAAATTACGTTACAAAAGCCATCTAAATCATTGGACATGGTGTTTTCGTTACTGATCTATCGTTACAACCAATGTCGTTATATAGGATATTGTAATTCGAAGATAAAGAAGTTAAATTTAAGTTACAGTCTTAATTATTATGAACCTCTGAGTCTTTCTTTATTTTTATAATCTATAAAACCACATTGCTGCCTAACTACCAGCTACCCGTGCACATCTTATTTTACTAAATTTTTTTTACGTTCTCCCATAAATTTATCGAAAATAAATTGAAACTCGAATTCATTATTAATTACTTCCTTTATTTCACACATTAATTATTAATACTAAAAATTACAATTAAAAAACCATGACCTCGGCCAACATCTCTGGGAGTGATAAGTCGTATGATGCCATCGTGCGTCATTTATGGTAATTTCAATTTATTTATCATTTATTTATAATACTATATAATATACAGTAAAATATCCAGTGCAGGTTAATTGAATTAAAATGTTTCTAGGTAATTAACTAAAAAAAATCAATTGTTTAAAATAAAGCTAAGCAAAGCATCAGAGTTATTCTCCATTCATATTATTCATAATAAATAGTAAGAAAACAACAATATGATCAGCAGCTTGAAGTCTTCAGGTGGGGGGCGGCATGTCTCAACCAACTTTCTAATAACAGCCCAGCTCCTTAGAAATAACCTTCAACTTGACGGTTTTCGCACCGCCGAATTAACTGAAATTTTTTACCGCACTTTACACTACGATATTAGAGCTGATACCAATTTTCATCACAATAGAGCATCTGCAAACAAAAACTTTCAATTATTGCAGAGACAATGCTGCACAGTGGGTGAACCCAGCCAGACTCCCAGCGGTTAGCACTAAGGGTTCATACACTTAAGATTCGAGTTAAAATAATTTAAGATAAATGCTTAATATGTTTTAGTGCTAAATAATTATGTGTTTAAAGCTTTATGTACTTTATTTTTAATTATTGATTTATATGAGCTGTATATGTACATACACATTACTATTATTATATATTGTATTATATATTCCTACATTATTTTTTCATTATTTAGTCTTCTTTATCTTCTATGGGTTTATTTATTGTTTATTTTATCTTAAATGTTATTTTAGGCACTTCACCTTCTGATGAAGAAGAAGATAGTACTGAATTTTATGAATGTGAAGATGATGTATCCTGTACCTCTGATGCATCAAACTTTGTCCTGAAAATTCCAAGTTGTCAACGTAGAATGTCATCACCCCTTAATACCAACAAGGTAATATTATTATGGACTGAAAGTTTCCTTGAAATTTGTAATTGTGATCTATATTTTTCTAACTAATCTTTGAAATCATGCTTCACTTCTTTTACTGTATATTAACAAATTCACTAAATCAAATAGTAAACATTTTGAGCAATAAGTGTCAACCTCATGTTATGAAATAAGCATCACTATTAAATATTCAGCTATTTTTTTAAAGGAAACATATAACTGTGAAATATATCGCTACTGCTGAGAATGAAAAATATTTTTAAATATGCAGAAAGAAGTTATTCCATACCAAGCGAAGTGTTCTCATCTTTAACAGAGAACAAAGTGTTTTTGACCTCAGTAGGTACATTAAGCAGGGTGGAAATTTATCCTAAGAGTTAGTAATTGGCAATCTTCCTAAAGGAAAGTGCCTGGTGAAAAGGGGGAATCTGTTTATTGTAAACCGCATGTTCCCTGGATATTTGCAAGAGAACTAAATGCTTGAAGAGAACCAAACGGTCACAGCTATCACCTATAACATCCTAAAGCTGCTAGAAGACTCATAACGGAAGTCGAAAGTCAAGAGGCATAAGAAAAAAAAACTTTTCATACATATCACCTGTTTATCTATCCTTAAATTTTCCTCTTGTGATTCTCAAATTTGCTTGATCTGTCAACCCATCAGTGTGATCTAAAACTTGTAAATAATAATTTTAATTTTATTCATTTTATTTGGATCAGTTTTGTGTTATATGTTTCTTACATTTAAATTTCAAATATCAGTTTAATTCCCATGACTATTAATGAAACATGTTCCTCCTACATCAGTTTTTAATTATTTTTTCAACCTATCTAAAATCTCCACACCTTTTCTTGTGTTTGATTTCACACAGACTAAATATTGCAGTGTGAAACCAACAACTTATTATTGTATATTGGACGTGGTGGCCGACCATGTTTAAGACGTGAGTCGCAGAGTGCCCAGTTCTGAAGTTGTGGACTTGATTACCACCTGGGTCAGTTAGTATTTATTTCTTGGCAACCCTGTGAAATGAATATTGATATTATACTCTGATGGTAATCTTAATCCACTCAAGGTAGTTGTCAGGAGTTGGTAAAATAAACCGCAAGGTCTACGTCCTGTAACTAGTTCCCTTCACTAGTACCAGTGTAATTGCACATATCACTGCTAATTTTATAGATCATGGCGAATGGTAGTTGTTTGTTGATCACTATAAAGTATTGGTAAGCACAAGATTACATTTTACCATGCTATTTTCCGTAACGTCCAATTATCACTTTTTAGAGAAAATAGAAAATTTTGTACTTTTTACTCAATTTTTTGCTATTTGGTTGTGCTCTAATCTTTACAATTTAGTTAGTAACTGCCACAATCCAGCATGAAGTCTGTTATATCTAGCAGATAATTTATTAGCATATTGAGCCAGGCTAGTTACAAGTTTGATCTTAATGTTGCTATTGATGGTATAGGGTTATCAGTCTGTAAATAGTTTTAAAGCTCCTTCATCCGATACAGATGGCAGTGAACTGTGTAATGGTTTGATCCTAGTATCATCTACCAAGCCTGTTAAAATAATATTTTGTTCTGATTTTTCAATACTTCGTATTCTTGACTGAATACGAAGTATTCATATTGGGTATTTAGCAAATAAAATTGTGTAGTGAGCTATAAATTTCTGGAACATCACATAATTAGTTCAAACCCTCTGTTTTGATTAGATTGTAATGTTATTTTTATAAAAAAATATTGTTTTCTTTGAGGTCTTGTAATTAAAGTCTTCAAGGTTTGCTTAGACATTAACTATAGCTGAACTTAATTTTGAGCTATTAAGAAGAGCATTTTTCATTGCTAATTACGAATCATGGATGAAAGACTAGTTAAAGTAGTTGAAAATAATGAATTATCTTTTATGTAATAAAATATATGTTATACCACTCATCACACCTCTGTTGGAGTATCTAAGTACAACGAGTCTGTTAAAAAATTACAATATTGTTGTTTAATGTAATAGCTTAGTAGTTGTAGCATTATAGCATAATATAATAATGACTTAGTACTAAGTGTATAATAATAATTGGATTAAAGATTATGTATTTCCTTATATAAATGCATGGCTACAAAACAATATTGTGATGACTTTTTTGTTGTTTAATTTTAGTGTAATGACAATCAAGGTGAAACATCTGGATCAAGCAGTGATGTAGAGGATGGTGGTGAAGTGGAAGTTGTCGTAATGCCAGAAGTTAATAGTAAAGATACAAAAAAAGTAAGTAAGTTTATTATTCGTGAATATAATATTAAGGCTAATACATATTAAGGCTAATTATCATTTGATAGTTCCATATTTCCTGATATTGCTTAGGAAAATATTTGTATTACTAATAAATAAGTTGATGTATTGTATAAAAGTATATTAGTAAATATTTAAGTAATTTATTCCTGTTAAAAAAAATAAAAACATGTAATCAATTTCATTAATGGAGTCATATTTGATCATTTTTATATGATTGGAAATTTTAGCTATCATCACACAATAAACACTTAGTTTTACTTGTGTATTACTGAAAGACATACCCCTTTGATATTGATGCTAATTAATATTGATATTAAGTTTCCTCTCTGATATGGATAAGGCGTATCCACTATTATAAGATATATACCAGTTTATTCAAAGTTTTCTGATTTCAAAACATAAATGGAGGGTGGAGGGTGTGTGTGTGTAATTATTTTTTCATAGATTTGTTATACAATATGAGAAATTTTTAAGAAAAAAGCTACAACCTACAACTAAATAACATTTAAAATAATTTAATTAACCTATATATTATAGTGGGATAAAACTTATAATATGTTCATATTTATTTTTTTCATAAATTAATGTGAATATAATGAACCTAATTAATAAAATATGGATATTTGGGATAGTTTGGTTTCTGTAATTTTCTTTAATAAACTTAAAATATTATCAATAGACACGCTCTTATATTTTAATGAAAAGTCACGGGTATTTCACTCATACGCATAATTCTATTGGGTTATCCGGAAAATAATGCAGGATTTTGAGTTTTCTTTAAAATACCTCTATGTAACAAATTGTTTACGTTTAGTGAATTATTTATTTGTATGAATGTCAACACTTATCAATCCTCTTCTAAACAATAATGTTTGTTTACCTCTGTAGCATTTCGCTGCTTAGAAATAATTCAATCTTTGTTAAAATTTCAACTCATGATTTTCATATAATTTTGTTTTACGAGTTTAAACTTGTCCGGAATAGGTCCCAGATGGCCAGAAACATCAATCGAATCTAGGGTGAGAGCAGTATTAATAAGTGCACTCTTCTACGATGGTTCAAAGAATTTTGGGAGGGAGACTTCAGCCTTGAAGACAAAGAAGGTCATGGAAGGACTTCCTCTCTTGATGACAATGTTCTGCAGGCTTTGGTGAAAGAAAACTCCAGAACAACTGTTTGAGAACTTGCAGGGAAACTTAACCTTAGCAAATCAACCGTCGATGACCACTTCTTGGCTATTGAAAACTTAAAAAAGCTTGAGAGGTCACGGGTTGAGTTCCACACATATTAAAGGACCGCCAAAAAAAAAAACCAGCATTATGATATTAGTGCTACACTTCTTTACCGAAACAAAAACAACTCTTTTCTGTCCAGGATTGTTACTTATGATGAAAAGTGGATATTTTACGATAACAGCACATGTTCTCGATAGTGGCTCAACAGAGGAGAAACAACAGAACGTTTTCCAAATCCCCAATTAATTAAAAAAAGGTGATAGCTACTGTTTAGTGGGCTTCATTTGGTTCAATACACTATAGCTTCTTGAATTATGGAAAACCATCAATGCCAAATCGTATTGTAACCAAATTAATGCAATGCATCAGAAATTGGCAATAATGAAGCCATCTTTGGTCAATCAGGGGAGCCATTTTGTTGCATGACAACAAAATGACATGTCTCATGTGTGACATCACAAAAACTGTTGCAGCTTAGATATAAAACTCTGCCACATCCACCCTACTCTTCGGACCTCTCGCCTATGGATATCATTTGTTTAGACACCTGGACCACTACTTATGTGACAACAAATTTAATTCACAAAGGAAATTATAAAATGTGTTTTTAGAGTTTATCAATTCTAACGATGGGAAATTCTATTCCGAGGGATGGAAAAGTTGCCAACAGGTTGGCAGAAATGTATTGATACTAGTGTAATAACAGTGTAAATCTTTCTTTTTTCTTTTTAAACCAAAATCCTGCATTATTTTCTGAACAACCCAATATATTATAGTTTTTAGCATTGTATTGCTATAGGGTTTCTAGAGACTTGAAATTCTTTTAAACTATCAAGTTAAAAAAAAAATGTACAACAATTTTTTTAAATATTTTTTATTCTCCACCTTTTGGGTAATTTTCGTAAATATAATTTGATGAAATTGTGAGCTTTGAAAGATTTCAAAGCATAAAAGAGGATTGTGATCAAAATGGTATTAAACATAGGTAAGAATACTTAACTGTTTTTGGCCAGTTTTAAGTTCTTCTTTTACATCATTGACGGAAACAAAAGTTTACAGTTTGAGGAAAATCTTAATAATCATCAGTAATAATAAACTTTATCATAATTATGAATAAAGTATAGATAAATTTTCCCTGTTGATGTTTTTTTATAAAGGCTCATATGATTTGCATATAGCTCCATGGCTACCATAGCGTTTTGTAAAGGAGTCTGTCTCTGATTACTAATAAATTTTTATGGTGATACTGCATTGAAAACATGTGCTCATTTGTTTGTCCAATAAATCTTTTAAGCTGAAAAAAATAATAATAAAATCATTGGAATTGCTTTATTTCATATTTAGAAAATTTTGTCAATATAGTTCTTCCACAAAATTCATCCAATAACATAGACTGGGTACTGGTGCCACTGAGTAATCCAAAGATTACCAGTTCTTCACTTTCTGCTCTTTTAAAAATTGCTAATTGTAAGTCACTTCAAGTCCTTTTGATAAGGCTGTATAATTATTGGAAGCAACTTGCAGAAATTTGATGGGCTCAATATATATCAATGCCCTTCCATCCTGGCCAACAAGACATCTGTTGCAGAAAGTCCCTTGTTGAGGTTAGGTGTTGTCAACGCCTATTTTCTGACTCTTCCTAGAAGAGTCAGTTACTTGGAGTAAGATTTAAGAAGCTCTGGCTTATTATACCAGTGACGTGGTTGAGAGAGTAGTCCTGGGATCTCCTAGTGTTCTGCTTTTCCTCCATAGCTGGAGGGACAAACCTGGTTCGGAGTTCACTTGGGTAATTGTAAATAGTGAATATGGTTAGTGCCTGTGTTTAAGATGTTATTTTACTTTAATTATTTTTAAGTTTGTTTTATTTTTATTTATATTTTTTCAAGATTATTATTTAGTTATTATTTTGCTTTTATTTTATTTAATTTATGTATAATTTCTGTACTTAGATTGTGAATGAATGAATTATTTTCTCATTATTACTATTGTCCTTATTGTGACACAATTTAATACTACTTAATAAAATAAAAAAAAATAATAGTGTGGAGACAAGCACAATTTAATTTTTATGATCATTAGTTTAATATTTCACTTTAGATAGATATGAAGGTTTATAGTTTTTGGTTGGTGTGAATATTTTAAAGTATTGCAAACCAGTTTAGAATTTTTTTAATGTAAATAGTCTGTATCATCAACTCATCAAGATAAGTTTGTTGTTTACCATTTTTATATTTTAAAACTAGTGAAGTAAATTGGGCACTTAATACAACTTCCAGATCAATTTAAATGTATCTATTGTTTTATTTTCATTTATTTAGGTTTTATTTGTACGCTGGTTTTCTGTCCTGTTGCCTCCCTCATAAATGTTATTTGCATAAGTATTAAGAGTTCGATTGCTTTTAGTAGGAAAGCAAATTTCTTCTCGACTGTGACAAGCTTTCAGGATCTTTGTTTCATAGTTTATCATGCAAACCATTAGAACACAATGCAGCTGTCTCAATTTCTCTACTAATTCTTTGTTATACCCCGAGTTTTTTTTCACATTGTCTTCTTAAATTAAGAAAAAAATTTATTTTCTTAATCTATCTATTGGCTATTAAATAGCACACAACACAAGTTTCTTCCTTTACATGATCCATTATTAACTGGCTGAAATAATTTGGGGATTTCAAATTTCAAGTCATATATCACTCAACTTTGTGGCAGTCCAGTAGACTATAAGATTGTGAATTAGAATTTCATTAATTATTAGTCCTTATAACTTCCTAAATAGCCTTATCTCATCATAACCTGCAAATATTTTATTTACAAAAATTCCTGGAATTAGAGTGTTTTAAATCTGGAGATTGGCAAACTTTGTTTGTTTGATTAGGTACTAAAAACTCGTAAATACCCATTTGCTTTCCACTTGGATTGTAAGATTATTTGGCAAGGAAGTTGCGAACAAAAGTGGCCTTAAAAAATATTTAACCGTTTGATGTGACCTACATCCACAAATTGTCAAAATAATGAGGTTATATAGGGCAAATGGCCCAATATTTTTGTGGGCTACCTTTTTTTTACGGTTTTGTGATCAAATTATCTTATGATCAAAGTGGAAAGCAAATGATATTTACGAGTTTTTAGTAACTAATTAAATATACAAAGTTTGCCGACCTCCAGATCAAAAACGCCCCAATTCCAAGAATTTTTGTAAATAAAATATTTGTAGTTTACGATAAGATGAAGCTATTTAGGAAGTTTTAGGTGGATGTTAATAATTTGATAAAAAAGGGTCTGTACCAGGGACTATATCATGTACTGTCTTCTATCTTCTGATGCTATTAGTTGTGCATTTTATTAGTATGTTGTTTTTGTGTGGTTTTGTTTACTTTTCTGCTTTGTGATTCACAGTATCGTTTCCATATTGTATTCTAATCTGGATGTTAACAGAAATTTTTCAATTTTGTGTTGATCTCAATTGATACCATACTCTTGCTTTTTTTTCTATATTGTTTTGTAGTTCTAGTTTAAAAAATATATGAATAACATTAACCTACATGACTTAAATAAAATTATTAAAGATATGATTATTAGAAAATTGACCTCGTATATCCCACAGCTTAAATCGCATTGCTCTCTCATTTATGAGGAAATGTACCTACTATTGGAATTGATGCAAAAATAATGCAGGTTTTATATATTCATTGAAAATACCCCATGTCTTCACTTCAACTATATATATTTAATCAAAATAAT